CAGATTGCAGTGGAATTGTGTGCTAAAAGTCTGGTTGTACTCGTTTCACGGATTGGCTACGGGATTGCAGTGGCTCGTGTGTTGAAAGTCCAGCTGTGGTTAACTCGCAAAAAACTGCGAACCCCAGACAAGGTGTTATGCGGCACATGTGAGGGTGCAACCAACTCATGCCACCTTTTTCAACTCACACCACGGGATATTAACTCACGAGGTGTTGCGAGATTTTTCACAATTTGCTGATGACTGCAATCTGGTAGCCAATCTGTGAGATAGGTGCCATCAGACTGTCAGCACATGATTCCACTGCAATCTGGCAATCGATGTGTGAGCGCATGTGAGCTCAATATCATCTGTTTGTAGGTTCACGAGGTCTAGGCAGTCTGGCAATTGATGTGTGAGATCATTACAATCTGAACTGGGAAAAGTGTAAGCCCAACATCATCTGTTTGTGGGTCCATGAGGGCTAATCAACCTTGTGACGAGGTTGTGGGGCCATCAGTACATCTCAATCAATTTCAGTCAATTTCTTCAGATAACTTCAGTGAGCTGATCTTCGGATCCTGCATCACACATTTCAGACATTTCAGACATGTCTCACAGGAGGTACATGCATATATTTCTGGTCACTGAAGATGACTCAGTTACTTCAGACTTCAGTTCGTTCATACTAATGAACTTATAACAGACATGCGTGTTAAGCGTGATTTGAACCCACAACCTCCTCAGGTCCAGTTACATAACACATGTGACTTAACCATTAAACTATCATGGCAATTCATACTTTACCCTCTGAGCTATAGATAAGGACATTATACAATATGAATATGAAAGACAGCACCCGTCAAGCCTGGAATCACAGTCGCAGTGGACAGTGACGACACCGACACGACAGAGACCGGGGAAGTGGAGGGCTCAGGGAGTCGGACTTGGAAGCGATCATGTTGAAGATGGAGACTGTGACGCCATGGCACATTGCCTGATGAGTTTATTGTAAGCACGAAGGTACGAGTCGACATGCATGTGAATTTGGCAGAGTAGCACCCCGAGGGAGAGAGGGGAGAGAGGGAAGAGAAAGGACGAGGTATACAAGTTGAGACACGAGTCTTTTGACTCGTGTCACCGACTAAGGTGTGCGAAGCTGAGTAGACAAGATAAGAAGTAAGAGAGAAACAGAGTCGATTTCGAACGCAAGTCGGTGCGGCGGCTCGGTAAAGCGTTCAAAGTCGGGTAACAGGAGGCAGGAAGAAGGTTCGATCTTGAGCACGAGTCAGCACAGCTGCATGGTGAAGTGTTCAAAGTTGGAGAGCAAGGAGAGATAGAGGTGAGGAGGGCAGACAAGAGTCTTGAAGTCGCGCGGAAGAGCCTGAGGAGATGAGAGATGGGATTCTATGAAGATTGCTTGCTCTACACAAGCTCTTTTGGAGGTTTATATACATTTCATGAGCATCTAAAGCGAAGTCTGAAATAATCCAGAACATATCATACTGTTCCAGGGTGACAAGTGGGAAAAAAATGCGAGCGAGGCTAACTGTATGGGTACGGTCGGCGATGGGGGTGAGAAGGTTGGCAGACGTGGGCACGCTTCGAGGTCGCCGTTGGTCGTGGGCGATGTCGAACAGGTGGTGTACCGTACTGTAAAATAAAGGGATATGAAACAAAAAGAGACAGGACGGGCGTACGAAAATGGTAAACTAGAATGGAGTCCTCAGCAGAGGAGTCTAGGAGGGAAATTTGATCAAGGGTTTTGAGGCACAGTGGGCTCGAGCGAGATGGCGGCTTGTTGTTGGCCAAGCAAGGGGTCCGACGGGGTTTTGGGCGATGAGTGGGTCTTCGGTGCACGGTCGGTTTTGAGGGCGATGAAAGAGGTTGAAGGGCGACAAGGCAGGACGATGAGAATGGGACAAAAAGAGTAAGGGCGCGGCTGATGAATCGAGGGCGTGTGTGGGGGCGATAGCAGATATGGTGGTCGTGGCTCCGGATGGCTATGTGGGCGCTCCGAATCGCTCGTCTCGAGCTCGATGGCCATCCTCACCTTACATCACACACAGCCTCGTGATAGCACACAGTTCTATCACAACCTGGTAAACACCTCGGGGGATACGTACATCCAGGTATCAGACTCACATCGACGAACAAGATCAGCACAAGCTAGCATTAGTCTCGTGCGAGCGCATGGTTCTGTCACAACCTGGTGAACACCTCAGAGGATATGTACATTCAGGTATTAGACTCACATTGAAGGACGAGTCCAGCACAAACTGGCATAAGTCTCGTGCGGGGTTATGAATGGGAAAGAGCGGGGTAACAGGCCCGCGAGTATATCACAAGGCCATGTCGGACTTAGAACGAGGCGTGAGGCACGTGAAGCCTCATGAGCTACTATCAGCTCACATCAAACACGTGAGCGCCGCGCTGCCTCGTGGGATTTGTTCCAATTTACCGATGTAAGGCAGCGCACCTTCCAGTGAAAGGTCATGTGACCGCCCATGCACCGAGTGTTCTAACACGGCGGGCAAGAGTGGATAGGCAGAGTCCGCTATGAAGTAAAAACCGGAAGTTACCTCCGGTGGTGAATGGGAGCCACTATTTGCGGTCCCGACAACCCTTTTCTACTTATTCGCTATGCTGACGCTCAACCCCCGGTTATCACTTTGATCAATTCGTTCCACGAGTGGGCCGTTCTACCCAAAATGGTCACCGTCAAGTATTACGTTGAGCTCGCTCCTCACAAATTAGAAAGTAAGATTGATGAGGGCCTCGCGTACCTTCACGAGCACCACATCGCCCGCAGGGATCAAGCCGGACAACCTTCTTGTCGACCAGAACTTCTGCTCGACTTCTATGTTGCAATGCGAATGGAGGCCGAAGATGAGGAGGTCGATGACCAGTGCGGAACAAGAAATTGGATGGCGCCCGAAGTCGAGAAGAGGTTGAGGCACAGTCCAATCAAGGCAGACAGATGGGCTTGTGGGCGGGTTCTTCTGTTCCTACTTGACGTGTTTGACAAAAAGACGATCCCTGAGGGCATTGCAAGGAACCTCCTGGCGTATAATCCTAAGCAACAGTTATCGTTGCTTGAATGGCGTAGTTATTCGGCTCCACCGTTCTCGGACATTGGAAACGTACAGAATTTCGGCGCAAGAAAGGCCTCGCGACCTCGACAGGACGTAGTGGAAGTCGACAGAGAAAACGTGAACTCCCGGATGTGAAGAAGCAGAGATTCGATAGGTCGGGTCAGTACAATATGAGTCCTAAGAGGTGTGACTGCGGTGCATTCATGCTACTTGGTAATTGCTTTTGACGATAGAGGTGTATGTACATGTAATGTTGATAACTGCCACTATGACAATTGATCAAGAATTAAGTGAGGCATTCGAGGTGGCCGAAAGAGAGGCCCACCGGAAGGTAGGGCCAGCAATAGTACTACCCAGTGCGCGCGAGAATTTCTCTCATGAGTATTCAAATGATCTCCCAAAGAAGTGGGAGTATGGACCCAATTGAGTATCTCTCAGTCAGTTTCGTCACTCTTGCCACAACGTGTATCCAATAGAGGTTTACAAATAAGGCAAGGCCACCCGGGGACACGATTGTGGCCTTTTGAGATAATGTAAAATTAATGGTCCTTGAACAAAGGCATCGGAGGACGAAACATACACCGGCTGATGCCAGAGGCGCTTTACAGAAGTGAGTCTAGCTTGCTTAATACCTCCAAGACACCGGCGACGAGCTCACATCCAGCATCCTCGTCGCCGCCGACCAATTCCTTGCGCACCTCTACCAGCAGTCCAAGCACCGCCTCGCGGCCGTTGCTACCAGAGCTACCCATTGCGATGCGCGGGCCTTCCCTCCTTTTTGTTCCTGTGCTGCCCGGAGAGCCGGAACCGAATGGCCAGGTGGCAAACTCAGCAAGGATATCATCGCACCGGGCAAATGCCGTCTCGCGCTCCTCGTACCCGAGCCTCACAAACGCGTTGTCAAGGACGCTCGCGGCGTAAGCGGAGCACGCGAGGCAAACGCTTCGCAGCGCACGCATCTGCGTTCCAGGTGCCTCTAACGCAGTGGGCGGAACGGCTGACGTGCCAGCGGTGAGCAGAGCAACGACGCGTGAGACGACAGCGTCTTTTACGCGGAGGTCGGCGACTGGATGCGTGGCCATATCGAAGAGAAGAAAATTGCGCTTCTCTGTGCGAAGGACGCCCTTATCAACGAGCCCTTTGGCAAGGCGCTCGCGGACCTGCTTCAGCTGATAGCCAATTTTAAGTACGTTCCACGTCTCGCCTGTAAATGCAACACCACAGCGTGTCAGGTACTTTGCGGTTTTGAGGGCGAAGGAACGTGCCGGATAGAAGATCGACCCATGAATTGATAGACATACGCTCAGACTCTTGCGCCTTCATCAAGCGGAGAGTCTCATCGAGAATGGTCTCACCCGTCTGACGGTCATCAGTGACCTCGACCAAACGCTCCGCAAGGGAGAGTCGACGACGATTTGGATCCTTGTGAACAGCAATACGCCGGCGGAGGGCGAGTTCTATGAGTATGCAACCACGCAGCGCGTAGGAGATGTTGTCATTCCAGAACGATAAGTATCCCTAGCTCGAGTTAATGCGAGTAGGGAGTGAATGATATAGACAGGCTTGCCTGATGGTCTTTTAAACCAAGAAGTAAGACTTCCTCCATGAGCGTAAGACGAGGTACCTTTCCACCAGTCTTCGACTCTTCTTCATCCCGTTCGAGGTCGCGCGGGTCGAAGGCAACTTTGTTACCCCCGGCAAATGCGGAACCCGCATGGGAGGCAAATAATGACGAGGATGGTTCTGAGGAGGAAGATGCTGGACCTGTGTTGATTCTCCGCCTTGATAACCCCGAGTTTTCACCCATGACGTTGCGGTGAAATGGGGATGAGCGAAATGGCAAAAGAGCGTAATCAGGATGCGGTGTCGAATGGTTTGGAAGGTTGATACTACCATTATTTAAATTGCTCAAACGTATAATTCACGGACCCCGTAGCTCAGTGGTAGAGCGTGAGATTCCAGAATCTCTCTGTTTCCTCAAGGCCATCCGTTCAATCCGGGTCGGGGTCAGAATTTTTTATCGTGTCCACCCTCGCATTGCTCAACTGCCCTTGAGTTGAACTCTCTCAGGCACTGTTCACATGTTGTTGATTCAACCGGCGAGTCCGAGACCACGGATGCAATCTCTCTCTACGTGAACATGAATTTACCCGTCGTGACACCCCACCCTTTCAACGTCACAAGGGAAGTGGGAACACCACTATGATTGTCTCCGCTCACCATTAAATGGACATTATGCGGGTGACAAGCCGAATACTTTTCTCCCTCACTATGCAGCAGAGTGGGGACACTTGAAGAGTGTCTCGAGCAGACGATGTGGTTGCGGCGCATAGGGAAGTAGTACTAGTAGTACTGTATATCGTTCTCTCACTGGCACGCGACACTCGAGGAGCCACGCGCACCACAGGCCACCCTGGTGATTAGCCCTTATGCCAATGGCCAGTGGTATGGTCGATCACCGCGCGCGCACCCCTTGCAGAGTCCTTGTCCGGATCGGACCAACCATTTTGTGCGCTCCAGGCGACCTTATCATCGATTTACGGCTAGGTAGGAGAAGAGTTGAGGTTTTGATGTCGTTGTAGGTCTTGTACGCTCTTCGTAGGAGCCGACGCGCTGACATTTGCTGGTGCTGGAGGACGGTCGAGTTTTGATTATACACTTCATTTCCGCTTGCCACTTGCGAGAACATCAATTTCTGGGATCCACACATACCACCTTCGTGCAACTCACTCTGGCCCGACTTCGGAGCTTAATTTCCGTGCCACCCCGAACCCACACCATCAGCTTAGCCCTGCCATTGGGAATGCGTTGGGAAAGCCAAGATATCATACCTCGAAACCTGTGATCTTTCCACGATGGTTTCTAGAAATACTCTCATCAGCGGGAGTAGCCGATGTGACGGCGAGTGATAGATGTAGTAGGTACGTTCCGTCATTCACAAGAGTTGCAAGACATGTGCCAGTTATGTGCGCCCGTTAAACGTCCTCTATGCTCTCTAGTTTTGACTCATATGCTGGCATTGTAATATACCTACTAGGCTTGTGTCCCCGACGATGCGCAGTGGCTCGTTATTTGCTTTTTTTGCAAACCCAGGTGACCACGCACAAATCAACGCCTGGCAGACTGCCCGAGAGTTGCAATCACACGGCGCCCATGCGCCCACGTCTCCAACTTCCGTTCTGTATCGCCCACTTGCACCATCATTGTCACCATGGTTCTCCAGATAATCCCACGTCCAGCATAAGGGCACGAAGGTTAAGCAAAGCTCAGCATTTTTCCGCTTCCAGTAACCAGCTGCCCATTCCGTCATCGCAACGTGCATCTTTAAAACCTTGCGTGGCAACTGCGCACGGTTCAGTTCAACTGTGGATCGTGCGATCGCTCACCAACGTCGACACGTTTCCGTTCCTTTCTTGCACGCATTGTGTCTGTTGGAGCGTCCGAGCACGCACTATCCAATAACGAATGCCTTTGGTGCCATGCCATGCGAGGTGCCGTAATTAGCCATGCCAGCACGCTGCAGCGGTGTGCACTCTCTTAACAGGCGTTAGCCTTTCCCATCATCTACCACTTTCCTTGAAAAATGGGGACTCTCAGGCCACGAGGCCTCTATGAAGAAGCCGTGACATACGACGAGGTTTCCGCCTCGCGCGTGCCTATAAGACAGCCCTTTCCTTTGCGTCAAGGTGGCCTTCCTACCGTGCGGCGCAAGGCAGCATACTGCCGCGTATATCTTCTCTCCATTCTTTCACGGTCCTTCTTGACTCTCAGCTCTGCAGAGCCCCATCACAGCAGCCATTTTTACCCTCCGAATCCTCAGTCCTTTTACCTCCCAGTATTTTCCGTGAGCATCACCGACCAATCATGCTGCCACGCCGCGCGCATACACACCCAGGCAACCGGCCCAAAGCTATATCGGTAGGTCTTCCCGAACCCATTTTTCATGCAGAGTCGCTCATCCACTCTACCGAAAGACGTCGCTAACCATCAAAACAGGCTTAACGCCGTCCGCCTCAGAGTCGACCGACAGTGACTCCTCCAGGACTGCCATGCCTCACAGCAACCAGCGTCAGCATCGTTGGTCGGAGATCGTCCCGCCGCAGACCGCACTCACATTCGTCGCCATGTACGATCCCGCGGATGGTCTACTTACTTTCTCTGGCGCGTCGCTACTGCCCTCCGAGCCTCCCACGCCACCCACACCGCATACGCCATCACTCGATACGCCAGTCACCCCAACCACTTTTGGGCCGATGCCCCGCACGCCCGCGCCAAGCACACTCGCAGATATGCAGAGTCTCCTCGACGCCTACTTCCGCACCGCCACTGCCAACGGCAACCACATTCTGCCCGCCCGTGCGTCGTCAACCTTCGACGGCCTCTTGTGCGTTGGAGTCGAGGCGGAAAGTACTGAGGATGGATGCTGGCGCGAGAAGCCGCTTCCTGTACGCCCGCCGCCGCCGCCCGACCGGGACAGCGTGTTTGCGTGGTCATGGCTCGGACGTATGGCGCAGGATGACCCGCGTGAGCCCTGGGATGCAAGTGGAAATGACGGGGCGTGCGTGTGTTGGCCATCTGTGGGACGACGTGGGTGCATGGGTGAGAGCTGTGATGGGGCTAAATGCAATGGCGGCGAGGATGATGACTCGTTCTACTTCACACCACCTGAAATCGAGGACCCGAATGAGGTGCGAGTCGCGCCTTTAATCGCTGTTCTCGTCCATTTTAGTCATCACTCTCTCGTGCCCTTCCTGGGCGACGGCAGTGCTCAGCGTTTTCTGTAACAACAACGTCAACTTCCGAGTATATCGACGTGCCGGGTCGCGAGTGCGACTCGATATGGTCCGCGAACGTGCTAGCTTATGCTTATCCCGCCCGCGGCGAGGCACGTACCCAGACGCAGCCCTCATCGCCAACGTCACCAGCACAAGCCCTCCTGCACCCTTGGCGTCTTCTCCGTGCGCGGACCTCCCACACTACAATCGCGGGGTCACCGCAGCGGCGGGCGTCAAGGGCTGCCAGTATGTTCGCAAAGCTGGGGCGACTCGGATCGCGGGACGACGGTGAGTCGTGGATCTGCGTTGAGGTGGTGCACACCATTACGCAACGTCCATTGCGTGAGTGCGAGTGGTAGGCCGCGGGGTTGTGAGGGTTGACGTCTGTTGGCGGTTGTTCATCTCTGGCGCTGGGATTCGCTGATAACATTCCTTCCTCTTCCATTCCTTAGTCACATACTTCCTATTTCCTGGCGTCCTCTTCTCGGCCATTGTGTTGCAGAGTTGATGATGTATAAATAAATGAGAGACTTGAAACGAAACGTACTGGCTCTTCTATTAAAGCTCATCGGCAAAGAAACATCTCTGGCCGACCTTGAGCCAGACAAGGATCCGCCATGGTTCGTGGCTCAGGAAACGAGGAAGAAGAAACAACGATTATCATTACCAATCGCGGGACATAATGCAGAGTCATCTAGAGCACAATCCGCAACACTCATTGTGGATAGTATTCATTGTCAACCCAGTACTCTGGTGGTGGAGTATTGATGAGTACACTGGCCCATGAACAGATGGAAGAATTACGAACCCTCCGTAATACCCTGCCAGCCGAGGTAGAGCATAACAATGGTTGCAGTATCCAGAGCGGTCGCGATGAACGAACCATCAATCTTGGCATTCGTACCATCACAAATGGGGCGGGAGAGAAGGAAGTACGCGAGCTGTGAGAGGATAAAAAGGATACCGGCCAGCGCATAATAAATTAAAGGGCGTCGCTCGTGAAGACGGCCGGCCACAATCCACACCATCAAAATCAAGTAAAGCAACGCTGCGCTGCCGGTGAGAACGTCAGAAATCATACATAGTACGGGGAGAAAGGGGGGTGGAACGCACGCGCCAGGCCATATCAAGGTGAGGATGAAGAGGGCCACTGAGTGCAGTGAGTCCTTCGGGTCACCCGGCTCAAACGTGCTCGTGATAGTAAAAGCGACGTCAAGAGAGATGTAAGTGGTGGCGGCCATGAAAAATGCGGTGAAAACGTAAAAGGGCTGGAGCACGTGCCCGTTAGCAAAAAGAGAACGAAACAAGGGCACAGATCGGGAATAAGGCGTACGATCAGTGAAGACGGTGTGCCATCCTCGACGACTTGAGTCGCTACGAGGGCGTTGCCTAGGAGCATCCAGAAAAAGACCGCGACAGCACCTGCATGAATGGCCGTAAAAACAACAAGGGTAGTGGTTCCCTGCTCGAGAAAGGAGCCCGTGGTAACAAGTTGTAGGGGGAGGGTGAGAAGGTAAACAAGGAGAAGTGCACGAAACTCGATACGACCTGGTGTCAGGTTAGATGTCTTGAGGGGAGGGAGTAAGACGACGACTTGACTTGCCGACTGCGGCCTTTCGCTGGTTACAGCGAACGATGAGCCAGAGGGTAACAAGGATACTGAAACTGCAAGCGAGGATATTGGCGATGTTGCCAATGGAGTTTTCAAATCCAACGCGTGGGATGCCACACTTTGGGTTGACTCCTACTGGGGCGGATGATGGGTTGGCAGAGGCGCCGATAAGGAGAGTAGGTGCATTGCGTGAAAGCTGTTTTATGGGTGAATGGGGTGGACCGATGACGAGGAAAGAAAAGGGAAGTGACCTCTCTATAAAAGAGATTGCAAACGCTCATGGAGGGGATGTTTCTGCAGAGAGGCTCAAAGTCACCGAAACGAGTCATCTCGGTAGAAAGCTACACGCTGTCGCGGAGAGCGACAGGTCGGACAAAAACAGGCAGGACAGGTTGGTGTTGGTAGTTCGATAGTCGTTACAGACGCTGGGGGTGGCTGAGACTGACGGCGGGACCACTTCAAGTTTTGATGGGGCCGTGGAGTCCGAGCGGATTCCTGGGAAGCGAAGGTTCATCACATGGTATTATAGTTGAGATCACACCCACGATTTCTTTTTTTATATCTTCAAGTGAAAGAAAATGGATATGAGCTTGGATCGCGCACGGGCGAACGAGTCGAGGGGC